ACCCCCGCCACCGGCACTTCAGCACCGCCGTTGATGCTTCTGCATCCCCCGCCGTCGTTGACCCGCATCCCTCGCCGTCGCTGACCCGCATCCTCGCCACAGATCTGGAAAAATCCACCACAGATCTGGAAAAAATTTAAAAAAATTTGCCACTGCAAATCTAGATCCGGTGAAGATGCAACCAGATCTAGAAAACAATGTCTTCTTCTAGCTGACGAAATAAGGAAGAAAAATCATTAAAGTAATGAAGAAGAAAGAGAAGAGGAAGAAGAGGGAAGAAGGAAGAAGAAAAAGAAAAAGACGAAGAAGGAGAAAAAATAAAGAAGGAGATGAGGAAGAAGAAAGAAGAAGAAGAAGGAATAAGAAAGAAAAAAGGAGAAAAAGAAGAAAAAGAAAGAAAGAAAAAACGGAAGAAGAAAAAAAAATGATAGAAGAAAGAAGAAAAAGAAAGAAAGAAGAAAGGGAGAGGAAGAAGAGAATTAAAGGTAGAAATGACATTTCATTCTCAAAAACTTTCCTAAAATAGAAATGGGAAGTTTTTTTGTGGACGGATGAAAAAGGAAAGTGGGAAGTTCTTTTTTGGACGGAGGGAGTATAAGATACGTTCTTTGGCGTTCTACTTTCTTAGTCTCTGAGTACCACTCTCTCACACCTCTATTACACCTAGGGGTGCATACAAATCAAATAAAATATATTCGATTCATGATTTGTATTCGAAAAAGATGATTCGTATTCGCTATATTCGAATTTGAATCCGAATACAAATCGTATTTTAGATTCGAATTATTTTCGAATCCGGATACAAATATTAATAGATTCGATTCGTTTATTATTTGAATTATTCGAATATTATAATTTATAAATTTATATCAATTCTAATATATTAAATATTTGTGTACATATTTTAATATATTAAGTTTTTGTGTACATATAAATATATATATATTCGAATATTATAATTTATAAATAAATTTATATATATTCTAACATATTTTTACTACATTTTTTACTATATTTTAGATTATTATAAAATAATAATTTAATGTCTTTAAGAAATCTATTTTAAGAAAAAAAATTCTAATATTTTCAAATTTGAATATTCGAATACGAATTCAAATACGTCAAAATATCTATCGAATCAAATACGAATATTTTTTAAAATTCGAATTATATACGAATCCGAATTCAAATACATATCACTTTAATCGAATACGAATCGAATAGTGATATATTTTCTTCGATTCGATTCGTATACACCCCTAAATTTACACCTAAGTTGAGCCCGAAAGTCAAGGTTGTGCTTTTTGGCCCCCGAAAGCATTAACACCAACATTGACGTCATTCGTGGCCAAAAAAGACAACAAACCCATCAATACACAATGTCAGGAACATCTGATACCCTTAGTGGCAAGAACTCCAGCGACTTTCCCTTGTCGGACAGTGTGTCGACGGCCACTGCTTCAAATCTACGACATTACCTCTAGATTTCTTGTTTTATCTAATGCTATAGGTTGCTTACAATGCGTTGTTTGTGAATCGTTGTCGTTGTCCACTACAACCATAGCATGCATAAGTCGTTTCTGGTTAGAATCATAGCTATATCCATACATTATTGTTGTGTTATAGGTCTAACCAACATTAGAATATGTCATTGTACATAAAGTTGATTTCCAAATACGATTTTAACATTCAAATTAAGATTATTTATAGAAAAAGATTATTTATAGAAGAATATCCTAAAATAAGGCCCCACTCATCTTTGCGGCTATGTTCTAAAACGGAAAGGATATCAATCCATGAATAGAATTAGCACGGCTTTTCTTCAACCTGCCGTTTCTCGGATTCCTTCACATTATTGGATTTAATTTGCACATTTTATAGTAGTAGTAGTAGTGGTAGTTATTGTTGTTTTGGATTGGGATTGACGAAGGTATAGGTTCTTATCTCCGATGGATCGTAATCAGTAATTGTTTTCCGCCGGCGACATGGTCACAGCGGCGGGGGCTCCTCTCGTCACTCCACTCAAAGCGGAGTTGCAGTGTTTCCGGGCCGGCAGGTATTGCGTTGATGTTTCTCGCAATGGCAGGGCTAAATACGTCAATCGACCTTATTCTCTCGTGCCTAGGGCTTGTTGCTCCGGCAACCCCTTGTCGAACTCTGCCGGAGATAGGCTTTGCGGTGGAGGAGGTGTTGGTAGCAGAAATAGCGGCGATGGTGAATTGCCTAGGCCACGGGCATTTGCTCCCTTGCTTTCTGATTCAGAGGATACTAGACTGGGGAATGGAGCTTCTGAGTTTTCTGATGCAAAGGATTTTCACATTGGAAGCTCAAATGGACTCCCATGCCTTGAGTTATCTCAGAAGATTGTGGTTGCTGTCGACATTGATGAGGGTATGTTTGTCTATTTGCTGTCAATTGATCGAATGTGCCATTACAAATCTGTTTTTTTAGATCTATTATCAGTTGAATTGAGTTCAATGCAATTATGTTTAGCTCAGTTCTGTTCCACTTTTCAATTAAAATTACAATCAACTTTTAGTTTAGTTTAGTTCAATTAAATGCATTTTAGTTGGTGAATTTCAGTCCAAAAGAACAATATTGGACCAATACTGTCTATAGCTTTTCATTCCATTTCTTTTTTTCATTAATGGTAGAACTCCTTAAACCCTAATTTAGGTAAGTCAAGGACAAAGAGTATTTTAGACATTGAAACTATGTCTTTTGACATACATTCGTTCATATCCTTTTTTTCAAACTAGTACATACTTAATTCACTTCTAGTTCCAGATAATAGCACATAATCTAGAACCCCTTTTCTAATTGTGCCAAAATTGGCCTTATCTCTCTGAAATATCTTCTAAATAATGATCACTCCTTTTGTTGAATTTCTTCCCTTGTTAGAGATTGTTGTTTCACTCTTGTTTGTGCTGATTCTGGGCTCCTGTATGTGTCATTTAACTTGAACTATTTACCGTCTCTTTTTCTAATACTTTAGCTGTGATTGTAAATTGTAATGCACATGTGCCTTTTTTTTGTATTTTCTGGGCAGTTCTTGGAAATTTTGTGTCAGCGATCAGTCAGTTTATTGCTGAACGTTATTCATTGTATCAGGCGGTGTCCGAATATCATGTTTATGAGTTTGCCAAGGTACCCATCTTTCATTCTACATGGGATTTTGGTCTCGGGTGTCCTCAAATATTCCACTAGATGACTGACATTTTCCGCTATTATTTAGTAATGAAGTTATTGATTTAAATACCATGAATATGAAATTCACATTGGCATTTGGCAAGGAAATCTATTGATCACTATGATCAGTTCTCCTCTCAATATCCTGCCTTTCGGTTATGGATGTGGAACTTATTCCGTCTATTATTATCCCTCAAAAATACAATTGCCACTTGCCAGTGCTATTTGTAGAAAGCTACAATTATCTTCCCTATATTGACTATTCAATTGACCTTTTTCTTTGTCACAGATATGGAGGTGCTCCAAGGATGAAGGTACAATTGACATATAAAATTTAAACTGGTCCATTGTAGACTCTTATGATAAAAACTGTTAATATGTACCGAATGTTCTCCCTCACCTTTTTTAAAACTGATAAAAATTGACATATAAAATTTAAACTGGTCCATTTAAAGTTTAAACTTCTCCCTCACCTTTTTTTAACACACTATACATTTTTTTCCTAAGTGGATGAGTGCTATACTAGGTGGTTATTTTCTTGCATCAGACGAGTTATGGTTTTTTTGCATTATAAGTGCATTTTTTCCTTTTGTGGAACAGCAAATATCCGTGTTCATGAGTTCTTTGAGTCATCTTATTTCAAGACTGCCATCCATCCCATTCCTGGTGCTCAGCAAGCTATACGAAACCTATCCAAAGTTTGTAATATGTCCATAGTTACGTATGTATCAGTATAACCTACCTTTTATTTCGTTGGCCTGCAACACCTTGTTACAGTGACAATACGTACAAAGTGAAGTTAATGATCATTTGGTGACAGGTCGCGGCAATATGCAATTCAAGACCACACAATTGAGTGGATTAACAAACACTACCCTGACCTGTTTCAGAAAATTTATTTTGGGAATCACTTTGCGTTAAATGGGAAATCCATACCCAAATCAGAGATTTGCAGGTACATTGCCATCAAGTTTTTTTATTAATAGTTTTTCTGAATTGTGGCTATTAGACCTACTATGTTGTATGGCGTGGAATATCAAGGTATTATGATGTTCATATAACATTGTGGTAGAATAGTGGGATTCAACTGGGTTGTTGTTGTTTATATAACATTGTGGTAGAAACGAGAATGTTCAGATGTATGTGTGGCAAAACTAGGAACTTAGTATCTGGTCCTAAAATATCAAGTATTATTGCAGTATCAAATCAAATAGGAGCAAAACAAATCAACTAGTAAGACAAACATACAAGTGCACTAACTTTATGATTGGTCTCGTCCGATAGGCAACAACCAATCATCTTGCAGATCATGTGAAGCCATCCAACATCTATCAATTAATTATAAAAAAGTACTCTTTTGGTCCACCATAGATCTTCCCAAGTTGACTTTTGTGATTTTTAAGGAGAGTTGAAAAAAGTTGGAAGTTTACTAAAATCCCCTCCATAAAATTTGGTAATTAAATGAGGTGGGTGAGATGTCATGAATAAAGTGAGGGTAGTTGTGGTATTTGAAATGTTAAAAAAGTAATGAGAAGATCTTTTTCGGATAAACAAAAAGGGCATTTGGAAAGATCTATGGCGGACGGAGGGAGTATTAGCTTAACATGTAAGGGATTAGTCTACTACTATGAGCTTGGTATTGTACGATAGAGCCAGTTGTCTTAATACCATCTTAATACCTCGAAAAAATAACATCTTCTGATACATATAACCCTGATCCCTGAAACTCAAGAGCTTGGTTGTTTGTTCAAAGTTGCTTGTCAAAGGAAGAAATATTCACAACAAATGCAGCAAAATCTCACCAAAAGTAGGGTGTGTACGCAGACCTTATCCCTATTCAGAAGTACAGAGAAGCACAGACAAAGTCAACACAATACCACCAACGAAGAACTACTTACAATGTTGTCCTATTAAATCCATTTGGTTTTGGTGTGCAGATCATTGGGAGCAAAAGTTTTGATTGATGATAACCCTGGATATGCCATCGAATGTGCTGAAGCTGGAATCAAGGTTCTTTTGTTTGATTATGAAAATTCTTATCCTTGGTCCAAGACAGAGTTTGTAAATGGCCACCCACTAATTACCAGAGTCCATAACTGGGAAGAGGTGGAGCTTCACTTGGCTTCTTGGATTTTCCCCACTGGTAATACTACGAGTAGTAATTTTGTTAAGGAACAATTTTTATAAGTCATCCAACTTGGTTTCTCTTAGTTTTTTTTAAATGACTAACATTTTATCTGGGTGTGTTTCTTTTTCAAGAAGTTGCATCAAAGTACATTATTTTGCGGAAACAAGACTTTGATTTCCGTATAGGGCCAATGAAATACGATACGTTTAGAGGTTAAAATGCCATAAATTATACTTGGTCTGTCCTTGAGTGTTTGTCCACTTTTGACTTTTGGAACTGTTCATCTAAGCACTTTGACTCATCAAATTCTCTCAATGTGTAAGCCTAAAAATAGTCATGTGTGATCTTGTTTGATTTGTCTTAACATATAGATTATTAATATATAATTTCTATAATTTTTTAATATACAAATTACAAGATAAAATGGATTAAAGAAGTGCATTGGATGGTGTGTCAAAAGGTAAGTGGACAAAGACAGTGGGATGGAGGTAGTATATACTAAGATTCATAAAATGAATATGAACTTTATGACCACAGAAGATTTCACTCTAAATAAAAAGCCATGTAACTTTTATTTAATTTTAGGTTAAATATCAATTTAACCTAAAATTACAAGATAAAATGGATTAAAGAAGTGCATTGGATGGTGTGCAAAAATGAAAGTGGACAAACACTCAGGGACGGAGGGAGTATTAAATATGGAGTACTATTTTTTTTATTTTAGTCAAAGTGCTAAAAAAAATCTAACCAGACAAATAAAAATGTGCATGTCTTCTTCATATACAACCAAGTGGTAGGGTTAGCCAGCAGCCCCTTCAATGCCATCCCATTAATGATTTGTTAACCGGTAGAGCAGACCAAACCCATTGATGATTTGAACACTATCTTATCAACATGTTATGGGATTCCCTATTGTGGCACAACTAGCCCTATTTTCACACTATCATGTCATATTGTACTCTCTATATGAACAGGACAATAGAATCAAACAAGATATATATACTCCGTAATAAGTTTCCGGTCCTGTTTCATTTTAAGTTATATTGGAACGAAATCGAGATTAAAGTTTGTCGTCCTAAGCGGAAGGAGATATTGTGGATGCGAAGGTGTATGCAATAGAGGCGTTTATAAATTTTGGGTCTCTAAGTTGGGTTGTTTTGAATGTAAAAGCTAGTTAAGTTGCACCAAGACGGAGATAAGTTAAATGCACTTATAGGAAGTTACAAGCGAAACTTATTTGAAAAATCCGTGCAACAGTAAAAGTGTATAAAATGCAGGCGGCATTATAAAAGATATACTCTGTAAGTGTGAAACGAATGAAATTGGAGTGTGTTTATTAGACAAGATTACTATGACGACTAAGTTTGTGGTATGTTGTGGTTAATGAAGAGTTTAGAGTATAGTCGTATTACGTAAATAACTTGAATATTCAAAGGCTTTTCTCTTCGGTTAAAAAGTTAATTTCTATCTTTTTCTAAATTTTTTCATTTTCTTTTCTTAAAATCTTCCGGTCTTTTCTAACATATCCTAGTCTTTTACAACTTCTTCATGTTTCTTCCCATAACGACTTAAAAAGATTATAATGAATACACAATAATACCATATATCCAACTTTATAACATAGCACCTCCAATAATGAATTCTTTTTATCCAAAATTTATTTTCAGCTACATATTTCTTTGAATGATCATTTAGTTGAATGATTATCTTAACATTTTATATTTTCAAACATTTTCCAATTTTTTTCAATATCGAACTTCAGAATTCTAACCGGAAAAAAACATGCCCTCAATAGTCCCAAAATAGCTCCAAACCTCATTTATGAGAGGGTTAGGGGAGAATGGGAGATAGACTCCCAAAAAAACTAACATTCTTAGGTAAATATATAAAATATTCACCACCTTATTCAACTTACAACGTACGAAAACATATTAGAAAATTAATAAAATCTGCTATCGTTTCAGAACATAGGACGAGAATCTCACAATTTATTCATTCAAGTACAATAAGGTAACATTGTGGACCATTTGGTAATTAATAATAATGAAATGGAGTGGTGCAAAGTCATGCCGGAAACAACCAATAGGTACCTATTCTCCACCAAATTCACCCGAAAACGAAAGCACACAATTCAAACGCGCTTTCTTTCCAACCTTTATTTATTGTTTTATGGAATGTGGATTACCTAAGTTTTTTTTTTGTTTGTAATCTTTTGGTCCCACACCACCCATATTGAGTTTAATTAGATTTAGGCAGGTCCGGCCTCGAAAATAAAAAAAAATGAAATTGGTCCTGTCTGAAACTTATATTTTGAACCCTATTTTATTATTTTAGAATACTTATGTTTCAAAATTAATGATGAATTTAAAAATATGTAGTCCCCTAAAATTTTAAGAACCCTATGTCATTGGCTACTTTGCATACCCTCCGGGCTCCGTGGATTTAGGCAATAAAAGAATTGGGTGTGTCGGTAGTAGAGACCATGAAACTTTAACAATGATAATGTTGGAGAGGTAATGTCTATATGTGGGGTGGGGGGGTTTCCTATGATCTTTTTTACCCGCCCTACCTAGGAGTTGATATGACTTAACTTGGACAAAATAGGACCGGTCCTAAGACTTTGATTGCATGAGTTGAAACGAAAAAAAAAGGGTCCAAAAATCTTTATATCTAATTGCTTAACGAATTAAAATGTGTGGAATAATTATATTTAAATAGTACTTCCTCTGTCCCAAAAAGATTGGGACATTTTGACTAAAGTGGTAAAATAAGGAGGGATAATTTTGTGTTGACTTTCCAAAAATACTCTTGATGTGATGGGTAAAAGTAGGATGTGATGGGTAGATTATTAGGAAAAAGGTATGATGTGATAGGTAGGATATGAAAAGGTAAGAAGTAAAAGTGGTTTTTTAATAGAAAAAGGACAGACTAATGTTTTGGGAAAGAGGGAGTAATTAATATACTAGTGTCATAACAAAAATAGTAAATGACAAAATCATAGTGAGGATTTATATCTACTTACCTCCCCAAACTAATGTCTTGAAAATCGGACTAAACAACGACCTAGACAAACTACTAGGTCAAGTGTTAATCAGTCGACCCGGGAGTCAACAACCTGGTCAAATACTATAATTAAAAATTTAATATTTTATATTATTATAAGAATAACATTTTTTAGTATATACCAGTACTTCATATACTCTCTACGTCCCACTGTCTTTGTCCACTTATCTTTTGGCACACCATTCAATGCACTTCTTTAATCCATTTTATCTTGTAATTTGTATATTAAAAAATTATAGAAATTATATATTACTCCCTCCGTCCGGAATTAAACTTCCCAGTTTGACTTTTCCTTATTTTTAGTGGAAGTTGACTATATGTGTAATTTGTCCAAAATGTCCCTTGCCTTCATGTCCCACGCCATAGTCCAGCANCACCGTCAGCCCCTCATTCGCCGTCATCTCCGTCACCCCTGTCCCAAAATCTTAGATCTAAAAAAAGTGAAACAAGAAAGGAGAAGAAATATCTCAACTTTACCGTCGCCATGTCTGAGAATAAAAGAAAAGGGAGGAGAAAGAATAAGGGTGGGGACAGAGGAGGAGAAAAAATAAGAAGAAGATACATGAAGAGATTAGCCACCGGAGATCTCACAGATCTGAGAGACAAAGAATCAAGAGAAAGAAGAAGATGATGAAAAAGAAGAAGAAAGTCAAAGAGTAGATCCAATCGGGAGAAGAAGGACGAGAAATGTGAGAGAGAGAGAGAGGATGAAGAAGACTTACGATGAAGAGGAAGGATGAAGATTGGGAGAAATGGGAGAAGTACGGAGTACTAGATTAGATAAGAAGAAAAAAGGAGTGGTTGAGAGAGAGAGTAAGTGAGAGGTTGGCGAGTAAAATGAGGGGTATTTTTGGAAGAGTGTTGATAAAAACGTAGAGTGAGAAGATTATTTCCGGACGGAAAAAAACGTAGAGTGGGAAGATTATTTCCGGACGGAGGGAGTAATAATTTATATGTTAAGACGAATCAAACAAGATCACACATGACTGTTTTTAGGCTTACACATTGAGAGAATTTGATGAGTCAAAGTGCTTAGATGAACAGTTTTAAAAGTCAAATGTGGACAAAGATAGTGGGACGGAGGTGGTATATACTAAAAAATGATAAGCACAACATTTTAATCAATCAAGTACTATGTTCTAATTAATTTATCTCAATATTTTACCTATTTTTGCATACTATATATTATCCCAAAAATATTTGTTTGCAAGAAAAATTTATTCTAAAAAAGGGGTTCATTTTTTTTTCATTTGACATATGACCCATAAAATGAGAGGGCTCTACACATAAGTGCTTATGAGACATTGATGATATCATACACCATGCCACTCTTGAGGGCGCTAAAGTAACATTTTACCTTAGATAAAATGCATATTAAATTCTATATATGTCACTCATATATATCTACTACCAAAAGAGACAATAATTGTTTCTAGTGATTGTTATATACTCCGTATAAGACAATAGAGTTGTGCTTATGTGTCATAAGGTTCATATGTGGAATGTTGAACATATTTTTTATGAGTTCACAAATAGATTAGTTTCTTCCCTTTCACAAAAAATCTAAATCTTTCATTATGTTTATGTTTTAAGATCTATAAAATAAATGTATACTTTAAAACAACATAAAAATTTGCTAAAACCCATGCCAGCATTGATGGTGTCAAACATATACTAGGTTTAAAACTTAAACCTAGACATAGTGTTCTTGACTCTTTCATTAATTTTTAGTGTATAAAAATAGAGTAATTTACCTAAATAGGACTAAAACATAATGACTTTCTCAAATAGGATCATATGTTTTTATTTCTCAATGTAGAACCATTGGTCATTATCTATTAGTCATTATTCAACTAAATGCATGTCCAGCATCACTTGGACATTATTCTTCTCACTAGTCATTATTAAGTCTTATTTAAGGAATAAAAAAGTTTAAGTCCTAAATTAGGAAATGACTTATGTTTTAGTCTTATTCACTACAAATTTCACATAAAAAATATAGTCTTAATGGTCGTATTAAAAGAAAAACGAACATTTCAAATAAAGAGAGTATTCTCTTAGCCTTAAAGAAGATGAGAAAAGGGTTTCATTTTTAAACTTCCTAGCTACTATACACAATCAAACCCATAAAAGTAATTATAATGAG